TGTGGCACCTCTCTATGATCTCCATTCTTATTTATCTTTATCTCCTATTTTTTACTTTTTTTTAATTTCTTCAATTATTTATTTTGTAAAAGCATCCCCTTAACTCATAGTTCCTTAATAAATGAAATCATAACTTTCAAATTTTTCATATTCATAGCTTTCAATTATTTAATGTACAAATTTGTACATCTTAAAATCATTTTAATAGAATTTTTTTTTGTAGGTATATATTCATCCCACTATAATTGTCTTCTTTATTAGAGTTTATAATATAGATTCATCTATTTTTCCACCTTAAATTTTTATAATTCTTAATTAAATTTAATTGATGTGGAGTAATAACATGTTAAAAGTTGGGAGATTAATTTTTTTTATTTGTTATAATTAAAAAAATATTAATTCAATTCAATCAACTTTTCACCTCCCACTATAATTACCTTCTTAATTGGAGATTTTATATGATCCATCCACCTTTAATTTTATATTTTTTAATTAATTTAATTAATGTGGAGTCATAATGTATTAAAAGATGGGAGATTAAAAGACAAAAAATAGCATATATATACCTTTCACTACCAAACTATGCATACATGAACTTATTTTAGTTTTAGTTGTTCTTAAGAAATGCTTCCACATAATTTTCAATGTATTTTAATTTATTTTTTGGAGTTGTAGCAATTTATCTAATGAGATCATGTATTGATGAATATTTTTCTTAATTACACTTACTATATGTGTTCTATTCTCTGTAAAAAAAAAATCATAGGCTAAGATTTCTCAGTTTATTGGTTGAAATTTTTATATTTTTACTTCATTACTATTTTTTGCTCAACATTTGCCAAATTTTAATGATACATGTTATGTAATTTCTATTGAGAAGCTCGGTACATACAACAGATTTCTTCTAAGGTGATTTTATGCACTCAATTTTTAAATTCATAAAAATAAATCCTGCTCCTACTTTATTTCAATTTCTTTTATGATATATTATTTTCTTAGATTAACTTGGTTCAATAATATGATTAATGATTGATATTGGTGCAACTTTGAAAACTATTTTAAAGTTTATGACTCAAAAATATAAACAATTTCTTAACAAGAAATTAAAAGGAAAATAAGAAGTCTACTATTAAAAATAAGTCATTTATATTTCTTCATAAAATTAATAACATGAATTATACATTATATTAGGGGTGTACATGGCCGGGTTGGTTAGAGTTTTTCAAATATCAAACCAAACCATTTGTGTCGGATTTTTCAATCTATAAACCAAACCAAATCAATAAAACTCGGGTTTTTCAACCTCGGGTTTTTTCGGATTTTTCTGGTAAAGTATTCATACAAACATATAATTTACTTGTACTTCAAATATTTTTTTAGTCCTACCAAAATACAACTATCTAAGGTGTTTCTTAAAAAAATAACACAAAATATGATATGAGTAATGACACTAAAATATCCAACAAAAAAATAATAACAATGAAATTGCGTAAAACAAATATTGCAAATTAACAGATCGTAATGAAAATGATCATAATTTAAAAGTACTAAATCATGCTAAAATAAGTTTAATAAGTATTAGTACATGACTAAATATTAAAGGAAATTAAAATTAGATTATGTATTTGGATTGTCTAAACCAATGTAAAATCAAGAACAAATATTCAATATTATTGTCATTCTTAGTATTGAATTGATTTTCTTTTTGCATTAGTATTAATTTGATTTTGATTTAAGTTTTATTATAATTATTATTGAACCATTCAGAATTCTAAGTTTCAAACTTGAAATAATATATTAAAAGATAAAAACTATGAAAAAGTATAAGAAATATTTAAAAATTATATCAAAGTAAATATTTTTAAGTATAAAATAAAATTTTAAAATTATATATATAATGTCGGGTTGGTTTGATCTCGGGTTATTTTTTTTAGTTAAAACCAAACCAATCCAAAAATAGTCGGTTTTTTTTTCCAATACCAAACCAAGTCAAACCAACCACTAGTCGAGTTTTTTTTCTTGGTTTGACTCGGTTTGCGATTTGATTCGGTTTTCGGTTTGGTTTTGTACACCCCTACATTATATATGTATAATGCATTTGAAATAATTGTTATGAGTAGTGCAAGAGTCAAACTATTCACTAAGTAACTGTAATTTTTAATTTTTCTTAATAAAAATGTCATTGCAAGAGTCAAACTATTCACTAAGTAACGGTAATTTTTTATTTTTCTTAATAAAGATATCATTCAAGTAAATTAGTAACTTCTTTGTATATTAATGCCTAATAGTAGTTAGAAGTTGGTTAATTCATCTCTTCTTTTATATATATATATATATATATTATCATGAGCTTATAAATGTATATAATACTTTGTTTGGAAAAAAAGAAAGAAAAAAATGCATTATCCATGAAAGTGAAAGTATTCAATTTTATATCTATTCTACATGATAGATAACTCAATATTATTAATAGATGTTTCATCAATTATTTTTATTTTTCTTATATTTTTCTGATTATCTATATCGTATATACACATAAAATTTCGCATATACAAGACGATATGATACTTTTCTATAATAACTATTCATAACTTTTTTTCGTATTTTCTATTGACATCTTTCACTATTATTTTCATTTAATTGTTTTAAAGAATCTAATATCCATTATTAATAAGAAAAAACCAGATAAAGAATAAAAAATCTGATGTGATACCTTTTTACGGTCAGTATTTTTATTTATTTCTTTCATAATTTTTATTCTTTTTATTTGTTCCATTTATTTATTGTATTAAGAAACTATTGAAGAAGATAAGGTAAAAGATAATGTCCAGTAGATTAACAATAAGTAACTATCTGTAACTATAATAGATAAATGTTAAAATTAAAAGAAAAATAAATAATTATTTAAGAGGGAAAACAAGTCTTAGCTATAATTAAAATAGAATTTATGTTTTTATTTCTATTTAATTTATAAAAAAAATCATTCTAAATTATTATTAAAGTTTCCTAGTATCTTATATGCATGAATCTAAATTAGTCGAAATTCAAAACATATTTGTTATGGGAAATGAAAAATAGTAGCATACGTCAAAACGTTCTTGGCATTTCTTAGGTGGAAAGAAACAGTTGACGGTTCACCCACCGTAGAAATTTTCCTTTTTCCCCGCCCCCACACCGTACGAACTCCATTCAAAGCTATTTATAGCTACTTCACACCATTAATAGTTTTCCATCCCTCTTAATTTTTTCTCACTTCACAATTCTGGTGATATACTCAATTTCCATGGCTTCCAACACTAACGTAGTAGCAGTTGATATGACCCCTTTTTTCGTCCTATACAAAAATGGCACCATCAATCGACTCCGTCCAGCAGACAATGCTCCGCTTTCCGACGATCCACAAGCCCTTGTCCGATCCAAGGATGTTGTAGTTCACCCGGAAACAGGGGTTTCCGTACGGATATTTCTCCCCAAAATTACCGACCGGAAACAGAAAATCCCCGTCGTGATTTACATTCACGGCGGGGCTTTCTGTATGGGATCAGCTCGTTCCTCCACATTCCATAATTTCATCAGCTCTGTAGTCGAAAAGGCCAATTTCATCGCTGTTTCAGTCGATTATAGACTTGCCCCGGAAAACCCTTTTGATACTACCTACGATGATTCGTGGGCAGCATTTCAATGGATAATTTCACATGCTAATGGAAAAGGTCCAGATTCATGGCTAAATGATCACGCTGATTTTGCAAAATTGTTTATTGGTGGAGAAAGTGCTGGCGCAAATATTGCTAACGACGTTGTCGTTAGAGCAGGGGTTACTGATCTCGATTCGAAAATCAAAATTTTGGGGCTTTATTTGGTTCATCCGTATTTCGGGATTGAAAATGATCAACTGTACAAGGCTTTGAATCCGACAAGAAATGGTGGATGCTTTGAAGATCCGAGGGTAAATCCATTGATAGATCCGAGGTTGAAATCAATGGCGTGTAAGAAGGCCATGTTTTTCGTGGCGGAGAAGGATCCTCTGAAAGAAGGGGCGATGAATTATTATGAGGGGTTGAAGAAGAGCGAGTGGAATGGAGAAATTGAGGTAATGGAGACGAAAGGAGAAGGCCATTGTTTCCATTTCTTTAATCCTAAGTCGGAGAAAGCTGCTGATCTTGTGAATAAACTAGTTGATTTCTTGAAGCAAGAGTAGTAGGTTTGTTTTAAGGTTATTTTGCCTGAATTCTACTGGAGTACTTTTTTACTTATATTTAAATAACATGATGATTTTGTGGTTCTTGGTGTTTGAAATTTTGAATTTTGAGCTCTAGCAATAGATTTAATACCAATATTCCTAAAAGTAAGTTTTCTTGTAAAAGCTATGCTTATGTGATTATAAGTGGGCTAGATCAGACGTTATCGTTATAAAAAAATATATATATATATATTTATTTACATCTATGTGATGAGGTAGAATTACGATTTGTGCTAATTGAACACTTGAATATATGATATACTCCTTCTCAACCCGCAATTTCCTTTTTAAACATGTTTATACTAGCAATTAAAATTGGTCCTGTGGTTAATGTAACAACACGCATTTCCTTTTTTCTTTTCTTCTTGTGGTTCCAAATTTGAGCTATAACAAAAGATCTAAAACACAGAATCATCCTATGTATGGTGCATAGTTACTGAACTGTTGCTTCCTTCCTATTATTGAGAACGATAAAATACAACGCAGAGCTATTCTTGTCCAAGAATATATAACATTATTATTGAAAACGGTAAAATACGTAGAGCAATCTTTGTCCAAGACCATTTAATATTATTATTGAGAATGATAAAATACGTAAAGTCATCCTTGTTCAAGGGTATTTATCATTATTGTTGAAAATGATAAAATACAGCGACAGAGCTATCAAGAGTATTTAACATTCTTTTATTGAGAAATTATTTTATATGGATAGGTAAAACAAAATTTATATATATGTTTGAATTTTCTTGTCCTTTTGGTATGTTTTCTATATATTTAGATTTATTTTAATTAAAATCATGGCTCCATCATAAATAGTACCGTAAGTGGACCCATGAGGCAGGACCATACAACAAAAATCAGTTAGAGAATTAAATGTCACCAAATTATAGTCACATAAATTTAATTTCTGGTCACGTTGGCCTTTCTTTTTATTTAAACATTGTCAAATTGGTGGAATTGTTATTCTAAGTCTAGATTGTTTGGTAAGTTGCATGACTTAAGTTTGTTATAGAAGAATAAAATTTATTTCCTTGAGACATCTTCCTTCCCATGTTAACAAGTATTTTATCATGCTTTCGTTTATCAAAAAAATTAACCAGCAAATTTGTTTGCTCCAAATATAAATATTAGTGACTTTATTTACTTTCAACAAATATTTACAATGTTTAATATTTGGTCCTAAGACGATGATATCATATGCCTTCTTTTTTTCTAAGATCATGAGTAAATTTCTCATACGATCACTTGACTTTGTTTTGTAACAAAATAATCAATTAGCAAAAAGAATTTTAAACAAAGATCTCCATTTAGGAAATCACATGCTTAACTCTTTGCGGGTTAATTGAGTTTAAGTTGTATAAAGTAAGCTCTTTGATTAATTAGTATTTGGAGAGAACTCTCCGGATTTGCGAGCCCATAAGCATGTGTGATGAGTCAGGTGGAAAGAATAGTCTAAGAGAGATAAAAAAGAAGAAGAAGCAAATAAAATAAAGACACTATGGGTGTGTTTGGTACGAAGGAAAATGTTTTCCTGAAAAACAAGTAGATTTTGACTTATTTTCTCATGTATGGTTGTTGAGTAGAAAATATTTTTCGAAAAAGATTTTTAGTGTTTGATTTATGAATGAAAAATATTTTTGAGAAATATATTTTATTTTTACTAGAGTAGAAAATAAATTTTGAAATTGAAAATATTTTTTAAAAACAAACTTAAATTTTTTTGGGGGTGGGGGAGGGGAGCTGGCAGGAGGGGTCGAGGGTAGGGGTGAAAAAATAAAAATTTGAAGTTGAAAATAGTTTTTAAAAACAAACTTAAACTTTTTTGGGGGAGGGATCGAGGGTAGGGGTGAAAAAATGAAATTTTGAAGTTGAAAATATTTTTTAAAAACAAACTTAAATTTTTTTATGAGGGGGGG